TGAGGGGTTGAGGGATGAGAAGTTTTGGTATTGGCAGAGGAGCCCCACAGGAGATAATGACACTCAGTGTGTGCTCAGGCTCTGCCACTGAGCCACCACACCTTGCCCTTCATGTCTTGGCCACCCCTTGGCCCTCCCTCCATCTCCAGACCTCTGGTGACTTCTTGTCAGGGATTAATTTGTTTCTTCTGGTTGCTGTGAAATGAAATAGCCAAAGCTGGACTCTTTTATTTCCCTTCCCAAATAAGCACAGTGTTAACACAAAGAATTTTTTACCTTCTGGACCTTCCTCCTCATTCTAATAAAAAAGTGGAGTTAAAATGACTTGATTTAAAATAAGATGAAGAGATGAAAACTGGAGCAGAAAGCACACCTGGTATTAGAGGAGAAGGGAGGGATGTTGTCAGGCAGCCTGTGATATGTGATATGATAGATTGTATCTATCATCTTTTACACAATTTTTTTGTGAGCTGCTCACTGGAATGTCAGACACCCCCAGTGGAGGGCTGGGCCTCTGCCTTGGCAGTCCCAGGCTTCCTCCTGAGTCTGCAGACAGCAGTGGGCACTCAGGCTGCCCTAGTTTAGACCTCTGCAGCAGATGGGGTGACTCTGAGGGCTCTGAGGCTGCATCCATCACCTCCCCCCTGACTGAAGCCCAACCACTGCAGACAGCTTGGCAGGAGCCACCTCTGCTCACCTGGTGGAGCCCACCCTGAGGATTCTGTGCAGCACAAGGTCAGGCCACTGGTTAGGTGGCAGCCCCAGTGGTGGGTTGGGGGCAATTCTGGCAAGCCAGCACCCTGCTCTTGGTGAGGTTCTACAGCTAACCAGCCTGCAGGTGTTGGGACTATGAAACCTGGTGCTGCTACGTGGTCCTGTTCCCACCAAAACCCAGTGCTTGGTCTCCACAGCACTGCAGCAAAGAGGAAAATAGTTGATGTTTCTGTGGCAGCCTCCTCAATGCCTGCCTGGATCCTGGCAGAAAGCCCATCCTCCCTCAGCCATCCTGTGTTTGGGTTTGCAGGCAGCTCACAAGTGACTGCTCCCATCTGTCTCTGCAGTGAGTTATTAACTTTTAATGGGCTGGCTGGGTTGTGCTAAGAACCTTCTCTTCATTCAGACATTTCCTTCAGTGGTAATTGGGCTGTGTGATTTATTTGGATTTCTCAGTGACCTGCTCTCTAAAAAGAGCTGCAGCACCCCTGGGGAAGTGGTTGGAGGGACAGAGTTACTGGGTGTTGGTGGCTGTGTAAACTGCATCTATTAGTTAGATAAAGGCAGTTACAGAGCTGCCCATAAAGCTGGAATTCACTGGACTGGATCCACCCTGACCTCCCACAGCATTAGCACCTCACTACAGTTAGGAATATTTTGGTTTCAATTTATTTCACCATGGCTACAGGAGACACGTTCCTGTTTGCAGCCAGTCCATGGAAACAGCCCTTGCCTGTTTCCTGACAACCTCCAGGGCAGAGCTGGAGCTGACTGTACTGGTGGCATTGTCCCTTCCCTTCCCCTGGAGACATGGGGGTAAATATTTACTGCTCTGGAGTTCTCATGCATGTCAGCGAGTCCTTGGCATGACAGAAGGTAGATGGGGTGAGCTCACACCCTGACAGTCCTGGCATGACTGAAAAGCAAGCTGGAGAAGGTTCTGTCCAGACATGTACTAAGAGAGCCAGAAGCTCTGTGTGGTTCCTCCTGGGGAAGAGCTGAAGTCCAGGGCAACGTTCCCTGACCTGCAGGCACCCTGTGAAATGATCTGTGATGCTGGCAGCCCTCCCAGATGGGTGCTGAGCTGTGTGATGCTGGGTGTTTTCCTGGGTGCTGTGACAGAGCTATGACTGTGAGAAATTCCAGACAGTGCAGGCTTCTCAGATGAGAAATGTGTGCACAGAATGGAGAGAAGGAACAACAGAGGCAGGATGAGTGATCTGTTGAACGTCCATAACCCACCTGACACTTCATGATCCTGTTTACAGGGCTTGTTGAGGGTGCTGAGCCCCTGGCCCAGGCTGCCCAGAGAGGTGGTCGCTGCCCCATCCCTGGCACCATCCCAGGGGAGGTTGGATGGGGCTCTGAGCACCCTGCTCTAGCTGCAGATGTCCCTGCTCAGTGCAGGGGGGTTGCACTAGATGATCTTTACAAGTCCCTTCCCACCCAAACCAGCCTGGGATTCTTTTCTTTATTAGACTAACCCTGTGTTGCAGAGAAATCAGCTGAAAAATAGCTGAAATGTTAGAAATGTTAGGTGGTTGCACATCCTGTTTCTTGTCTTTTAAATAAAGCTGTCACCAGTGAAATCTGATGTCTTTAAAAACACCATCTCACCTGCCCCTCAGCGTGGTCCTCCCTTGTCTGCCCTGCTAAAGGCACTGTCACTCCCTGTGGCTGTTCCTCTGTGCCTGGAGCTCCTCTCAAGAGCAGCACCATCCTTCCCATTCCCACCTAAACCATCACCAGCAGTGCAGCCTAGGGAGAAGCCTCTGAGGACTCATCCTGCCCTGCCCCTTGTCTGGGCTGTGTTGCCTCTGTGCTGAAGACCCCTGACACAACAACTGGGTGGATGGTTGGGCTTGATGACCTTAGAGATCCTTTCCAACCTTAATGGTTCTGTGGTTCTATGAACTCTGAAAGTGTCCAGACTTTAAACCAAGCCTGCTCTCCAACCCTTCCCACTGAACAAGCAGCATTCCCTTGGAGTTCAAACTCCCCTAACCAAAGTCCACATAAAGCATTCATAAATTATTCAACAGCAGCTCTGTTTTCATCAGACTCTTAATATCCCTTACTGTGATGTGATCTTCATTTGGGTCTGTGAGCATTCAGTCCCTTGGGGGGTGCAGAGGAGGTGGGCACAGCACCTTGTCCTCATCCATCTTTTCAGTCTGAAATCCAGCCCTGCTGGGGAATGACATTTTATGCTGCCAAGTCCCTTCTCCATGCAGAAACACAGCTCCATTTGTGATGCAGACTTCCAACTGCCTAACACAATCCTGTCATAGGCTGGCATTTTATTTCAGTAGCACTTTGGAGAGGTCAAGAGTGTTCCAGAGACGTTGACTGCATCGTGAGCAACACAAGTCCTTGAAGCCTTTGGTCTAGAGGGCCAGACTGCAGGGCCAAGGACCTGCAGGATGATGGGAATAAGGTGGCTTCTAGGTTCAGGCACTCTAGAATTTACATCTTGGAAATAGTGTTCAATAAATTAAATGGATTTCTCTTAGTCTCAGCTGTTCATTCCCTCCTTATGGCACCCCAAAACTGAGCTATGCAGGTAGGAAGTATGGAGTGACTGAACATGGCAGCAATTTAATTAGCAAGACCTGAGTTTAGCTGGGAACTTGGGTGTCAAATGTGGTCACTCCTGGTGTGACTCCAGCAAATCAAGTTGTGCTGTTCTCCTGTCACAGAGCCCAGCTCTAGTTCTGCTCTGGGTAACACTTGTCCCAGAGTCTGTCCTCTGAAATTCCCCTGTACTAACGTGGGCTATTGTATTGTGGTGTCTTTTCAATGGTCCTTAGCTCCATTCAGCTGATCTCTTGTCCTGCACGTTGAGGGGAGCACTCACCAGTCCCTGGCTCACTGTGTGCTGCTGTTTTCCTTTCTCAGGGCACAGATCAGTGAGGAGCTGAAGGAACTGATCCTGCGTATGCTTGACAAAAACCCTGAGACGAGGATCACAGTCCCTGAAATTAAGGTAAGGTGGAGGTTGGTGGTATTTTTCTCAGTGGATTTTGTTGTTCCTTTGGTACCCTCTAATGGGGCAGAGCTGTTCCTGGTGTTTGGTTTTGGAGCCCTCTCTGGCACGCTGCCTTGGAAAGGGGGAGTGCTTGTTCTGCAGCATGTAACAGCTCTGTCCCTGCTGCTTGCTTGGGGAATATTGACAAAAGCTTTCTTGTTTCCTTATTTAAATGAAAATGACTCAAAAGCTGGCTGATCTACAGTGAAGCCTTGGGAGAATCCTCGTGGGGACTGCCAGCTGCAGAGCCTGTGCTCTCAGTGTTGGACCTACAAGTGTGTTCCTGCCCTGGTGCCTGCGTGGTCAGCAGCCTGGAGGCAGCACATTTATCAGCTGGACTTTGGGGATGCTTCTTAACACAGAGACAGACTAAAGCTGGTAGAGAACAATGCTTTGCAGGGGTTGGCTTCATTCTGGGTTTGCCTGAGCTTTCTGTCCTCCTGTCACCCCTTGCTGAGAGCTTGGACCTGTTGGAGACACTCATGATTTCCAGACATCCATCAGCATCCTCTGCAGGGCACAAACCTCTTCTTTGCTTTGCCTCAGGCCACCACCAACACATTTACCACCATAGCTAACAGTAGGACAGAAAAAAAGGTGACATCCCTCCCCTCCATGCCTAGAAGGCCACAGCCTCCCTGGTGGGAAGTCCTTTGGAGCTGTATTTAAGGGATTTCACTTGGCAGCTCTTGCAGCTGCTTCATGTGGAGCCCTGGTAAGATCCAGCAGAGCTGGGTGCTGGGTCTTGCCCCAGGCTGTGCACTGAAGGTCCTTGTTGTGCTGGAAGACTTGTGTTCAGTGCTGAAAGAGCCACGTGTCTCCAATGCCAGCTCTAACACAGCTTTCCTCTTATTCACCCCCAAGGAAACCATCCCCTGAGAGGCAGTAGGAAAAGAGCAGCTTTCCTCTGCTCTTCCCTCAAGTAAGATGATGGCCAAGCAGCTTCATGGCAGAGGTGGTGCAAGCCAGACAAATGTTCTTCTGCTGGCAAGCATTAGCTTGGTGCTGCTGCTCATACATGATCATTTATAACTCATAAATCTCTGTCTGCATTGAAGAGAAACATGGCAAAAGCTGGAAGGAGGTGGAAAATTTCTCTAAGGGGGATAAGCTGGACAAATGTCTTAACAGCTCTGCCCAAGTGGGTTTGGGATTGCTGTTCATCATCCAAATAAATCAAGCAAATGGTTTTGTCTGAGGGACATTGAACATATGTTGAGACCCAGTTCTCTTCCCAGCTGAAATGTTTGCAGGCCACAGGTAGGCTGTAGGGCTTAGTGCTGTCAAGGGTTAGACTAGACAAATGACCTTGACTATTAACCCCTCTGCCTTCCCAAAGGGAAAAAGGGAGAGAGGCTTGGGAACTGGAAAAGAAAATGAAACAGCTTGAATGAAAATAATAACAGCACAACAAAATCTGTACCAATAGATACAAAGCCAGCATCAAACCCTGCCCAGCTGATGGCAGCTAATGTCACTGTCACCATCACCACTGGTGTTGCAGGAGCATGAGGTCTCACTACTTAGACCCAAATACTCCATTCTGAGCACCCAACCCCTTGTTTGTGCAGGAGCAGAAAGGATCTTGGTTCTCCAGATAGCCAGCACGGGTGAGAGGTGTGCATGGGAGACAAGAAGGTGGAAATGCTCCAGATAACTCAGGTTTTGAAGACATTTCAAGCTTGGTTCAGAGTGTGCCAGGTTCTTCTGAGATGCCAGTTGGTGGTGGGGGGTGTGGGAGCACTGGGCTTTGGGGGATGTCATCTGGCCAGGCAATGATTGTCTCCTGGCCCTCAGTCAGGCCTTTGGCTCCATCTCCCATGGCATCCTGCTGGAGAAGCTGGTGGCTCATGGCATAGACAGGTGGACTCTGGCTGGATGGCTGAGCCCAGGGAGTTGTGGGGAATGGAGTTAAATCTGTTTGGAGGCCTCATGAGCTGTGTTCCCCAGGGACCAGTTTTGGGGCCAATCTTCTTCAACCTCTTGATCAATGATCTGGATGAGGGGATCGAGTGCACCCTAAATTCACAGACAACATCAAATTGAGTGGGAGTGCTGATCTGCCCGAGGGTCTGGAGGCTCTGCAGAGGGATCTGCTTGGATCCATGAGCTGAGATCAACTGCATGAGGGTCAACAAGGCCAAGCACCAGGTCCTGC